AGTAGTATTTAAAACACGAGAAGGAGTGTTTTATCATATTTAAAACGCGAGGCGCAGCCGAGCGTTTTAGATATGATAAAACACGAGTTCGAGTGTTTTGAATAGCTTAAAATACGACTACAAAAGAATACTAATTAGGATGAACAATTATATAATCATACTAATTAGGATGAACAATTATATAAAGAATACTAATGAAGATGAGTTTTATCAGATATAAAGTCACTCCACATGACATATTATGGCTGACATGATTTGCCACAAGGTTTATGAATTTTTAATGAGTATTTTAAATATATATATATATATATATATATATATATATATATATATATATATATATATATATATATATATATATATATATATATATATATATATATATATATATATATATATATCTGGAATGATAACAGCGAGCGAAAAGTGAAGCCGACAAAAAATCACGACATAAGAATTCGTCATTGTCTTCGTCATCAACTGTTCAAGAACTTTCTTACCACAGAGTAGAGACATACAGAGACGTGTTTCTTACAGTACACGGCAAAAAACGCTCAGGTTGATGTAATACTGATGAAAACAGGATTGAACAATGCTTTGCTGCCCACATTGTGCATAGCTGTCAACAACATTGAATAATATTGTTACACCCGATTCATGCTCAACAGCATTGTTCAATATTGTTAACAAGTGTGAACAACGTGGGCAGCAAAACATTGTTCAGTCCTGTTGAGCAACGGTCTCGGCGTTTTTTGCCGTCTATTATTTTTGCCGTCTATTAATTAACATTACTCCTACATCTTACGGCTTCCTTGATGACAGTCTTACAGTGCGTCTACTGTAAGTGGGGCCACTTAGAGAGCACTAACCAATCACATTGCAGAACAGAAAGTGAAAAAATCAACAAACGGCGCATTAGCCAATCAGCATTAGGGCAAAAACAATTCGAACAAATAAACGAATGTCAAACGGTAAAAATAGACATGTAAAAGTAAACATTGCAGTTAATGGCTTCCTGAATCTTTCTTTTGATTGGACGAGCTTTAGTTTGATTAGATTTTTCTTTCTGTTCTGCAATGCGATTGGTTAGTGTTCTCTAAGTGGCCCCACTTACAGTAGACGCACTGTAAGGAATACATAGGCAGCGTCCTTCCCTACGTAACTTGCGTATTCTCCTGAGTAGCTGTCGTAATGACACACTGTCTTCAGTCCGAAGCTACAGGCTTGATGAGTCTGATACCTTTCCGTGTAACTCTCATCACCACCAGCGTTACTCTTAGTGTTCTCGTTGGGAACAAGTATTGATTCGAAGTCTGCGTAGATTATGCGTACAGGGAGACAGTTCCTACGATTTTTAAAATTTATCTTTGACCCCGCCTCTGGGACTCTGGTTGCCTGCACTCCATTCACTTCTATACAGACCTCCTTGTGTTTAGTAAGTGCTTCTTCACTCAAACAGTTGTGGAAGCAATGTAGACAATAGTGGGCCTTCGCCTTGGTCTTACTCAAAGTACACAGTAATCTGTTATCAACACATAGTGTAGCTTTCCCGTTACCATCACCTAGTAGTAGCAGTTCTATGTGATCTTCGTGTTCACCCTTGGATATCCTTATTGGGTAGAACTGTTTCTTACCCCTGTATCCTAACACTGATATGTTAATCAAATCAAATTAAATTTATTTTAGCCATAAAAAGATATATCATACAAAAGAAGGAATAAATATACATTATACTTGGCAAGGGAGCCCAATAGAAACCATAAGGCTTATTAATTTTGGGCTCCTTAATCGTACTATTCATACAAACGGAATAATTCGTGCACAATAGGAGACAAATCCGAATTCATTAGTGTAATTACATATTAAGCATCTACCTATAGTGACCGTTAATTTATATAATAATTAGAACTAGTTGTTCAAAGTTGTAGTACAGTTGATCATTACGTGTAATGTCAGAAAGAGAGATTTAACAAGGGTGATATATTTATAGGTATAATGAACACTATTATAGAAATTAGGTGTTAGGGATTCAGAAGATAATATGTTAAAGATTAAAAAGATATTCTTTAAGTTTTTTTCGAAAACTAAAAACGGATGAAGCTTCACAGATATCCTGAGGGAGAGAGTTAAAGAATTTAACGCCTTGGTAGCTGATAGAAAATTGCCTAATATTTGTTCTACATGAAGGAAGAAAGTATAACTTTGAATTACGTGTGTTGTAATTGTGCACCTGATTGATATTTTGAAAAAAATTTTCCCAAAATTCTTCTTCTCTATTTTGTCTATATCACTTATCTTCACTGGGAACTCAATACCTCTGTAGTCTAGATTCAACTCGAAGTCCCTATCATTTTGGGTTATAGTTGTTGCTCTTGTAGCTTTAGGTCTAAGGTGTCTGACATGGCACCACATGAGACACATTTTGTCATCGTTTATCATATTGATCAATCCACACTTTGGTTGCTTATGTCCTTGGGGAGTTCCATGTATGAGCTACCAGCTAATGGCTTGTACATTGCGATATTAATGTAGTTGCTCTCGATGTTCATTATCACCCAGTTACTCCCAAGGTTTTGAAACGATTCAATTCTGTTTAGTATTGTCTGTTGATTAAAGGCAGCCGTTTTCTCAATGTCCTCGTGGTTCATCACGGTTCTTGTTTTAGATTTGAAGTACACTGAGTCCTTACTCGTCTTACCATCACCTACTTCCTTTGACATCCTTACCTTTAGCGTCTCAGTGTATTTTATCCCAACTAGTTTCCTCAGCTCATTCACCAGTATGCTCCTCACTACTTGTCTACTTGATGTCAGCTGATCTAGTGGATCCATATGTTGTGGTACTATTGAGTACGTCACCGCTGCCCCATTAGCTGCCGTCTCTATTTTCCTGTATCCCGGCATTTGAAGGTCCGTCCCGAATGGATCTATTTCGTGCTCTTCGACTCTCACCACTGGAGGTTGCTCCCCGGTCTCCTTCATTTGCTTTACAGGCTTACGTACCTTTACCGGTGCCTCAGGTTTGGGCATCCTTGTCCTGGGGCTTCGGTACTGGTCTTTCCTTGTGGAGCTTTGTTCTAGGCTTCGGTATGGGCCTCTCCCTGGGGAACACTGTCCTCGGCTTAGGTACTGGTCTCCATGGACTCACACCCTCTGGTATGTTAGGTGCCTTCCTAGTGGGCCTCACGGGTTTCTCTCTGTTTAGGTTCACCTCTATGTTGTACCTACCCGGCCCCACCTTTGTTACCACACTGTCTGCGGGTATTGTGGGTCTCACCAGTTTCTGCGCTCCGAACCTATCCGCTACACTTTGTCTCTTGGGTTCAGCTGTATTTTGTCTTAGTAGCCTTTCAGCTACGGTCTCTCTCTTCTTGGGTTCGGAGATCGTTTTCTTTGGTTCAACTGTCTTCGATGGTCTACCCCTCTTCTTTGGTATCTTAGGTTCTTCCTCTACCTTGGCCTTTGGAGGTCTGCCTCTCTTCTTTGGTATCTTGGGTTCCCCCTCTACGTTAGCCTTTGGAGGTCTGCCCCTCTTCTTCGGTACCACTTGGTTTCGTTCTGCCTTTAACTTTTCTACTTCCCTCTGGATGATCTCCGAGTCTGTCTTCGCTGTACCACCTGAGAACTCCGGCACTCCTGGTGTTCCTCTCAGTCCATCATGGGCTAGGGCTATCAACTCGGCCGCTTCCCTTTGACGCTCTGTGTATTTCCACTGTGGTGCTGTACCCCTCTTCTTCTGGGTGGCACTACTCACGAACTTCTTACGTGGTCTTGTTACTATGTACTCCTCGCCAGTTCTAGACCTTATAGGCTGAGGGTCCTCTGTAAAGTCCTGCACTTCTCTCTCGAACTCGTACGTCGCTATCCTCTGGTATGTTTCCACCGAAGTAACTACCAAGTGCTATTAACTCTTCCATGCTCATCTCTAATTTTGTTGAATTCATTCTTCGTTCGCTCTCCTATACTATATGTACCGAAAAAAATTTGGGTATTTTCCGATTAATTAATTTGGAATTAATTTGTATTTAATTATATTAAGGTTTATTTAATTATATTTATATTAATGTTTATTTAATTATATTTATATTAAGGTTAATTTAGTTGACGACCCCTCCAGTGCGCTCCATCCATCTATCGTAGTACTGACATCCTTCTGGCTTCCATCCTAGATCAATAAAGACTTTTCCGTACAGACGGTCCTCTAGTTCGTTAACTATTCTTTCTGTGCTGATGTCCTCAGGAGGGTGCCTCAATTCTATTCTATTCATGCTTGTTAACCTGAGTAGGTAAAACTTGTATCTTACTATGTTGCGTCCTCTCTGTAGTTTAAGTCTCTGTATACATCTAACTACCTTCTGAAACTGATTCCTTAGTATGAGTCTGTGTTGGTTAGGTACATGTTTTGTTAGTTGTCTCCCAAACCATCGCACCCTACTATGTGAAGTCTTTTTCTTAAGATAGTCGTCCTTGTTGTGATTGTAGCTAACATAGTATGAAAAGTTGTTCATCTCACATATTTGTGCATTGAAAATTGAGTTATGATTGGTTAATATTACAAGACCTTTAACCTTCCTAACCATTCTTACCTGAAATGATTTTCCAGTATGCTGAAGTTGTTTATTCTCTTTAGTAAGATTCTCATTGGTGTTCATGAGCGAGGTTAACTCTTCAGTCAATGATTCTCGACTTGATTCCAGTGTTGAAATGGCAGACTAGAAAAAATTCCGAGACTCTAATAAGTCGATTCTTCACTATACGCTTATTAATCTATCTGGGGGAATCAATCTATTCCTACTGTAGCTCCATTGACCGTTATGAGCAAATGCCTTGAGGTAAAGTGGAAAAATCAAAAGCTTGTGACTTTCGGGTCGGCACGAAGCTCTAGGAAGATGTTCTGTGACTGGTTGATTATGACAATGACAAAAGAATAAGCTATAGAATGGATTTTCTAAAGAACGAAGCAAGAACAATATTCCTTTTTATGTAAGCCAATTAGCCTTTCTCACGCCATTTTTGGGTGGCTTTTCAGCCGAAGTCTGTGAGATAAGTCCACATGACAGCGACTTTTTGTAAGTTTTTGGACGAATGATGGTAAATTTGCTT